TCATCTTAATCTTCACATCTCCAGGGCACAGATTATCTTTGCAGCGGCTCAGTTTGCTGGAGAGTAAACAAGATCTCACTGATTCCTGCAGGTTCCTTCCCAGTTGGTATAAACGTGTCTACCCAGGGGTGCTCCAGGTGGCTTACACATCTCAGCCAGTGTTACTGAGGGGGTATCATTTAAGGGACTATTGCACGGTTTGAGCTCCCTGTAGCTCCATCCCCTGTTTGTTTGTTTGTTGGGTTTGGTTTGAACAGCTCACACCACCCAGATCCAGCAGGGAACCTCGTCCTGATCCCTGTTGGTCTCCGTAAAGGAGTGATTCACAGCCTCATGGGAATTCATGACCTTCATTTATCAAAACTTGCAAGGCACTCAACTAAACCCAAGAGAATATAAAAGAAAGAAGAAAGTAATGTGAAAGTCATAAATACAGCTTTCCCTTATCCTCCCATATCCGACAGGCACTTTTATTCAAGAACGGTGGCAAAGCCTGAAGGTGCCTCCCAGCTCATGCCAGAACTCCTCTTTCTCCAGTGGTTGTACACACATACTAATTTCTCTGTCCTCTCGAGATTTCCAGTACATTAATTACATGTTATTGCTGCTACTACCACTGCTATTACCAAGGAATGCAACGGGGAGACCTTCAGCCGTTTGTTGGATTCCTGCGGTCAGGAGGTATAATGAGTTGCTTAACACTCTTACAAGCTAAGGCTATGGGTAAGGGGTATTGGGCAGACCAAAGAAAATAAAAAAAAAAAATAAAAAATTGAAAATTAAAAATAAGAAGGTAGGTGGAAGAAAACAGAGGAAAAGGAAATAATGTGGTCTTAGGGAGGAAGTTCTAAATATCATGTTACGTGTTCAGTTCTGCAGTGGGATTAGCAAACTCATCCTCAAGGGGACATATTTCACCCTGTTCTCTCGGATGGACAGACAGACTCAGTGAGTTGAAGCGTCCCGGAGCCATGCTTTGTGAAGCCCTGCACTATGACATGGCGATGATGTCACACCCTGAAAGCTATGCGTCACAATGCGGGACCTTGGCTAAACTGCTGATCGGAATAGGGGGAATAGGCACTAAAAATGATGACCTAGTGACATCACATCGGAGACACTGTATCCCAGTTCAGTAAAGGCATGTCCTCACTGGAAACAGCTCATTACAGTAAGAGGAATCCATTGGTGTGGCCCATCTGTGCAATAACACTAACGATACCACCACCACCACCACTGAAACCAAGACCACTACCTGAAACCAAGAAAGGAGAGAGAAATCAGGTGAAGAACAGGTCCCTGTGGGTGCTGACAGGGAACGGGGGTCAGGGACTGCCTGTGCTGTGCTCAGCCTCTGCGCACACCAGATAGGCATCAGCCAACATGGAATCATAGAATGGTTAGGGCTGGAAGGGACCTTCAAAGGTCATCTAGTCCAACCCCCCTGCAAGGAACAGGGATATCTCCAACTAGATCAGGTTGCTCAGGGCCTCATCCAACCTGGCCTTGAACGTCTCCAGGGATGGAGCATCCACCATCCAAGGAAAGCTGCTGCGACCCAAAGACAGAAGGTGCATTTATATCAACTGCGGGACACCTGGACAATCAACAGGAGACAAAACCTCTCCCGCTCTCTGTACTCCTGCCTGACATTTGGTGTGGCAAAACCACGAGTAAGTTTTCACTTTGAAGTCTACAACTCAGTGCTTACAGCATGAAGATGTGTTTTCAGCACAACTGGTACAAAATGAACGGGCAACGGATTGTTCCCGTTCCCTTTTGCTTTCACTGCTGAGTTACATCTAGAGTTTTCCGAATAATCGCGTGCAAGGCACGCGCAGTAGGTTCAGGCTGGTACATATGCTGAGCTGGGGAGAAAGGGGCTGTGCCACAAGAGTATGAAGAGTGTGAAAACTGAAAAAGTAGGGAGAAAGGTGTCCTACCCATTTTGAGAAGCCTTGTTTGGGAGCCAAGGTATGGCACTGAACACAGCCAAACGCGTGGCAAGGCGTCAAAAACCAGCACAGATCAGGTTGAACGGTCCTCGAAAGAAAGGAAACCCACATCATCTCAAACTGTTTGATGTTGAACCCCACAAGAGACAGGGGAAAACCACCTGCAGGGTTTCAGTGGGACCTCTAGGTCTTTTCTTGGTCTCAAAGCAAGGAGCTTCTCGTGTGGCCTGATGAGTTCTTGCTGTTGCTGTCTAATAAGAGAGAGGATGCCCGCAGACTCCCAGAGAGACTTGGGTCTTATTTTTTTTATATGATAGGAGACATATGTTCCTATGCCATAAACAGATCTAAAAAGGGTATAAAACTGATTTGCCTCACCTTTGAAAGGATATGGCGGCGCTGGAGAAGGCTCAGAGAAAGGCAACAAGGCCAATCCAAGGTGTGAAACAGATTTAGCACCTTCGGTTTGACCAGGTACAGCCATGCTTATGGTCCTCTAGTGGATTTCCCACCCTATAAAAGTATCTGCCACTACAAGACTGGGGAGATTTTACTTTGGAAAGAAACTAGAACTTAGCTGCTTTTTTTTTTTTCCCTTCTTCCCAGGAAATATGAGTTCACTCATTCCAGACTAGCCACCTGTCCAGAACTGAGGAAGCTCAAAGGTGACATGAAAGACTCTAGGTCATAACTTGAAGAATGTATTGGGCTCTTAGCGTCAGCACGCACAGCCCTGCCCCAAGCTACTACCTAATCATGGAGTCCAAAACCAAAAAGGACCACTGTGGTTGTGTTGTGAGCTCTCCGTACAAGTCCAGTCAGAGGAATTTTCTGACTTAAATTCTGCTATTTTTTTTTAAGAAAAATCATTTCAGGAAAAATATCTGCTCTTAATTTAACGTGTACCAATAACAAGGAAAACACCGTAGCACATAAACTGGCCCATTAATTATCTTCATCATGAAAATCTCATGACCAGTCTCAAAAAATCTTCTCAATCCAATCTTTTTTGAATTCAACCTTTCCAGGAAATGCACATTTTCTAGTGAAGACATATGCAATAAAGGGGCTTCCAGCCATCTCTAGTCCAATAACCTTCTATTGTATCATAGAATCATAGAATGGTTAGGGCTGGAAGGGACCTTCAAAGGTCATCTAGTCCAACCCCCCTGCAAGGAACAGGGATATCTCCAAGTTGTAGTTGCTACTACCTCTGCAGTTAAATCAGAGAACCATAGAATGGTTTGGGTTGGAAGGGCCTTCAAAGATCATCTAGTTCCAACCCCCCTGCCATGGGCAGGGACACCCTCCACTACACCAGGTTGCCCAAAGCCTCATCCCACCTGGCCTTGAACACTTCCAGGGATGGGGCAGCCACAGCTTCTCTGGGCAACCTCTTCCAGTGCCTCACCAGTCATCTCTGCCTTTCATTAGTATTCTCTCTCCATTTGCATTATGCTATCAACTCATGGTTTATCCAGTTCCTTGAGAGAGGGTGGCAAAGTGGCTCAAACGCCTCTTCAGTCAACTCCTCTCTTTTGCACCTGCACCCCCTTGGTGCAGGGGTAAGGGGAGCACAGATTTTACCCAGGCAATTTTCAGACGGAGGATGCTTTCTAGCAGATCAAACGCCACCCAGAAGGATCTCCCATCGCGTCCTCAAAACAGCTGGTCCGGCTTTTCAGGATTTGCCTGCTGTTGGCAGTGCCACCTCATTAACAAATCTTTTGGCAACCACACCCTTGTAGTACTCAAGGGGGAATGTTCTCCTGCCATCCACTCTAAGAGTGTGACCGTGCCAAGACAGTCACTGAGGCTGGCCCGGCGCTCAGAGCAATGAAGGCTCCGTTCAGTTTGCAAATATCTGTGCTGTCCCGCCTGCCACCTGGAGCAGGTGATGGAGAAGACAACAGAGCTGAAAACATCCATCACTTTTTAAAATGCCGCATCTGGGAGAGAAAAAAAAAAATGCTGAAAATCTGGTAGAGCTTCTTGCTCGGCGGAGTAGACATTCCACATACGTTTAGTTCACGACTTTCTTGTGCACGCACAGAAGCAGCCCAAGAAACTCTGCTTAATGACAGTTCTTTCAGCGTGCTCCCTGCTAGAGTATCTGGGGATGGTCTTGTATCCTAGATGGATCTGTCCTGCTCAGTGTCTCAGTGGGAAACCGTGCCTGGAATCCGTAAGATGTCAGCCGTTCTCCATTGCCACCTGCAGCAAAACTGTCCTAGAGCCTCAGCCTAGGAGGAGAGGTCCCAGTAATTCCAGACACACAGATTTCCACACGATTAGAGAAGAGGTCCCATAACACTGAAGTGTTTTCCTATGCATGGTTGTGACAAAATTCTGCATCAATTTCTTATATTTTGTTTATACAACATCTCAGTTGTCATTGGTTTCTGTCACACTTTCCACTTGTTACGTGTATGGGGTGCAGGGCTGTAAGGTTAAAAATTTCTCATGTTTCATCATAAAAATGGCTACACTTCAACAATCAGGTTGCCCAGAGAAGTTGTAGATGCCCCATCCCTGGAAGTGTTCCAGGCCAGGTTGGATGAGGCTTTGGGCAACCTGGTGTAGCGGAGGGTGTCCCTGCCCACGGCAGGGGGGTTGGAACTGGATGGTCTTTGAGGTCCCTTCCAACCCAAACCATTCTGTGATTCTATGATAATTTGTTTTCATGTGTGTTTCTCCCTCCAGAGTTAACGGCCAAAGACTCAAGGCAAAATGTATATGCAGGTTTACACAGAAGAAAAGGACTTTGGGTGAGGAAAGCCTGGGGAAGGAGTTTGAGTCTGGGACTTCGCAAAGATCCTAGAGAGCCATCTGCGTGTTCAGTGGGATTTTTCAACAGCAGTGACCTATCTCACTTTCACTTACTCACTTGTTTAGGTATCTAACCACTTTGTAAAGTCTTAGAAGATGAAAGGCAGAACTGGAAAAAAAAAAAAAAAAATTTCTAAGCCGGTTTGCTACGCATGCCTGTAATCAAATGAACTTCAGAACACCATGAGTTATGATCTCTCCTTCTGCTAGGAAAGCTCATCTTCAGATATTATTCAAACACCCACTGCGAACGGTCAGATAGATCCACGTTTGGGCAGCCGTGGGTCAGAGAAGGATTGTCCTCTTTCACTGTCCAAGTATTATTTATGTTCCTGTTGAGCACAAGCACTTTCTGCCTTTACACGCCTGTTTTGTTCTGTGATTTACACCACACTTTCTCACCGCCTCTACAAGCACCAAGCTACAGACCATATTTATACAACGTCTGTACTTAGACAACACAACAGAGCATGTCACCTGTAGCCGAGGAAGGGCAAGACTTCCTCCACCAAAACTTTTTATATTCTCTTTTTGGGGCTTACCTGATACACTCCACTGATTCCGGTCTTGATTTTAGATCCTGGTCTTTAGCAGCCACTCCGAAATGAATGGGGAACAATCCTCCAAGAATAATGTCTCCCTTCTTCTGTGCCCGTTGGTTTGGCCCGTAGGCAGCCGTGTTCCAGGTAAATAGCAAAAGAATGAAGCAGCAGCTATATAAAGTCATTGTTCCTCTTTTCACCAGCGGGTTATAGGATGCAAAATCGGAAAAGGTGATGTAAGAGAGCAGACGTTGTAATGTCTAAGCTTTTCCCTTCCTTAATACAGCACAGAGAGGATTTGGGACACATGTCTGCAGGGAGACAAGGAACAGGGTGGGAGCCACAGTGCTGGTGTTTCTCCCTCTGTCTTCTCCATTGCAAAGCCACAGTCCAGCGGTCCTTCTTTCTTCATAACCAAAGCACTAGGGAGAGCCCATCTCTGAGAACTGCAAAAGAAAGACATGAAAAGTGATCTCAGGTACACGCCAGGGCCCCGCGCTGCTGTGGTGGTTCTGCTTTGTCATATCAACTTCTCAGTACGTCCCCGTGGCCACCCCCACTCAACAACCTGTGCAGGACACATACCAAGTTTGACAGAGCAGGTCAGACACCCCAGTGATGCCAGCCACATCTCCCCAAACAAGTGGCATGGCTTCTCTTGGATACCTCCTTCTCTACCACACGTGTGAGGTGGATGTATTCCCACCATCTTCCAACGGTTCTGCATGACTCAGGTCATGGAAGACCCTATAAAACTTGAGATCAGACTCCATGAACAGAGCACCCTGTGAGAGACTTGGGTGGGAAAGTGAGGAATAAGGAAGCATCAAATGCAGTAAGAATCAAACCTTCCTCTTAAGCAAAGAGCTACGATAATCTTTTGGTGTCGGTCCCTCCCCTCCTTTCCGTCGATCGTTCTTAACTCTTTGGTTTGAACTTATCCTTGCTAGAAATGAAACGAGGTCACAAGAAAGATTTCTTTCAGCTTCAAAGTGAGGAAGCATTTGAAATCAAGATACTTTTCCATAATGAATCGTGAAGGCTTGAAAGGTTTAGTGATGGTGTCATTGCAAGCTTAGCTGCCGAGATTTGAAACCTGCATCCAGGGGATGAGAAATACAGCAGCTTCCCTGTGCTCAATACACTTTCCCTGCAGCACGTCTACAGTCCTGCCAAATGAAGAACTATATTATGGCATATGAAAATGGCTATGGCGAGGGAGGAGGAGGTAGCACCAAAAAATCATAATAAACGTCTCTTCAGCCTATTTGGAATAGGTCTAAGAGCTAGTAGTGAAAATCTGAAGTTAGTTAGAATAGAAGCTATGCATATGTTGCTAATTCTCAGGACAGTTAATTTCCAAAGCGAGTCGTCAAGGATTTTCAAGTGCTGAGAACCCATTTATGAAGATGACTTGCTGGGCACTGAATGCACCAAGACAGATCTGACCTCTACCTAGGTCAAAAAAGGAGCTACTGCAGGGAGACACTGTGACCATGGGGCTTCTTAGAGCAGCCAGCCCTAATGATTATGCCTGCTGTATGCCCACCTAGAAGCTGGAAATATTTCACCCATTTCTGCTAAAATGAAGGTCCAGATTCAGCAGTCAATGGGAGAAGAGAGACAAAGCTCACATCATTCTCATGCCTCTGTGGTCCACACACTTGGGCAGCTGGGTATATGCTGCAGGAAGCAATGCAGCAGTATTATTAAAGTCATTTTAAATATGCTTGTGGATCGTGTTGGCTCAGGTACACCTGTCCCAGTGGAGCACAAAGCACAGATGAAAGCAGCTCAGAAAGCCAGAGGAAAAGTTGTGTCCAGGAGTGATTTCATGGTTAGAAAGGTTGGCACTGTTTAAATTGAGAGAGGATACGAAGGAAAGGGAAGAGCAGAGAAGACAAACTGCACGTGGAGCCTGGCAAGATCTCATGGCTGATACTTTTGGGCAAAGGGACAGAAGAGCAACCTGGAGCTTTGGCCAGAAGCCACTTTCTGTGGGGAGCCCTCTGCCCACATCTGCTAAGAAAGCAAGAGGGTCCAGGGGAGCTGGTGTCACCACAGCCACAGCAGCCATGCTGGGACAGAGCATTCTAGTTTAAATACCGCCAGTTTTGAGGACAGTATGAGTAAAATGTTGCTAATCATACCTGGTGAGGTATGATTAAGACCAAGGGCAGGCTGGAAGGTCACCCCAAGGCTGAGGAGTCACCCCAGCCAGCAACATAGCCTTCCAGGAGAGCAGGGAGGCTCTCTTTTCCCTGGGAAAGGGAAACAAGAGGAAGAGGGGTCTGGATTTTCATTTCTTTGGAAGTAAAATAAAAAAAACAAAGCAGGGAAAAAAGCAGATAGAGTGCAGTGAGGTGAGGGCCAGCACAGGTGGGGCCTTGATGACCCAGTCCAAAGAGGCGAGACGTTTGAAGCAGGGAGCAGGAACTTCTGAAGAGCAGCTGCGAAGAGATAGGATGGTTGGACTCATGTTATTTATCCTGGGGCGTCCCCTCCCCTGCCACCCTCCCAGCTGGCAGAGACCTGGGGCACCACACGCTCCTTCAGGGTCAGCGATGGAGGTGACCAGCAACAGGGTCCCCCGAGCCCGGGCAAGGAACTGTGCGTAGGACTGAGTCAAGATGGGATGGGATCACTGACTTCCCCATCTACTGAAAGAGGGGAGGTTTCAATCAGATCTGAGGAAGAAATTTTTCACTCAGAGGGTGGTGAGGCACTGGCACAGGTTGCCAAGAGAAGCTGTGGCTGCCCCATCCCTGGAAGTGTTCCAGGCCAGGTTGGATGAGGCTTTGGGCAACCTGGTGTAGTGGAGAGTGTCCCTGCCCATGGCAGGGGGGTTGGAACTGGATGGTCTTTGAGGTCCCTTCCAACCCAAACCATTCTATGGTTCTATGATACTGTGGGAAGGGGGTGAGCTCAAGACCACAGCCTGCTGATTTATTACTCTATTTTTCCGCTTTCCTTTTAGTAACACTTTCTTTTTGCCTTCAGGGTTCTTTGCTGATGACAAAGGAAACCGTTTTCATCATGAAGAGAGACGATGTGATTTCGTTTGCTGCGATGCTATGGAGTGGCTTTTGTTGTACTGAGGAACCACTCTGCCACCAGCCAGGACGTGGCTGAAGTATTAAACGTAGAAAAAGTAACTTCACATTCTTATTTCTCTTTTCTCACAGTAGACAAAGTTGAAAGATCTAAACTGGTAAAATAGGGTTCGTTTTGAGACGGCATTTACGGCACTCAGTGCTCCAAGGTGTCAGTTGGGATCATGCCGAGGGATTAGGCCATGGAAACAAATCTATTCCTCCATGGTGTAGGGTAATACTTGGTATCCCCCTGAATAACTTGGAACTTGCTGCTCTCAGAGACAGGACAGAGAACTGAAATCATGTCAGAGGTGCTGCCTGTGGGCAAGGTGGGCAGGATATACATGAACACCGAATGCCGGTGACGGCAAACCGAGGGATGGGCGTGCAAAGATGCACCGACACAAAAAGACACAGACATAAAATACCCAGAAAAAGCAAAACTAAGTGTATGCTGAGTTCTGTGTAAATCTCAGGAGTAACATTTACAGCTCTCCATACTTAAATACCTCCCGTAGCTTGGACACCAAGTATCTCCAACTCCTTTAGTATCAGACAGAGTTCTCCCAGCTGCTTTCAAGTGCTCTCCACAATTAAGGTTGAAAAATTTTGAAGATACTGATTTCCTGATGAGCAGTCATTAGCTTGCTGCTGGTACCAAGAGTTAATATCCTTTGGTATCATCTTTCGTTGTGTCAAATCTTCCTGCTGTTCTTTTTTCTTTAATTGGATTAAGATTATGAGCATCTTCCTTATTAACAGAAAGCGTTATGCCGCTGAAGATTGAATTACCTGCTAATGCGTGCCTGAAGACATCAAAACTTTGCAAAATACAGGTGGAAACTGTACAGCTAATGGAACAAATTACTGCTGGCTTGCAGTTTTCAGCCAATAAATTAAAGATTAAATTAACAAGCAACTCAATTAAGAAGGAAGCTTGGAATCCATTGCTATTTTTTTCCCTTTGCAAATATTTTTAGATGTAAAGTGTTTAGTATTAGACATAAATTCTTTGATTGTAAGCTCTTCAATGCAGAAAACCTTTTTTCCTGTACATGTATATTCAGCAAATACAATTCCATCAGATTCCTTTTGTAAGAAAAATATAAAAAATAAGTATTATAATTTCAATTTTTTGGACACATCCCTATTTTTAAAATACACCCTCCCCCCCTTAAATATTTTTCTAGTATTTCTCCACTCTGTTTTGTAACTATCATACATTTCGGTTTTGAACTCTCTTGGAAGTGGAAGCAAAGTAGCAGCCACCTCACCTAAACTTCAGTGGTGGAACTTAAAGTGGTTCCAGAACCAGGGGGAGGCATCAGGACACCACTGTCAGGGCAGGAGCAGGACCTGGGGAGGGACAGAAGGTACGAAGGGCAGAGGTGTGGGGATATGAAAGGCTTGCAGCCATGGGTACCATTCTGCTAGCTGAATGAAAATTTGTTTCCTTTGTCAGGACTCATGCAGAAAAGCCAGAGATGTTCAATAAATCTTTGTTCTTTGGGTGAAAAGCAGCTGAGTGGCACACTCATGGCATGTGTTACTCTTGAAGTGCTTCTGAATCAAACAGTAACTAACCACAATTTGAAGAGCAGCTGCTCCAGTTCTTACAATAACTGGTTGGAAAGGATCTCGAGGGGTGACGTGGCTGTCCCTCAGCCCAAGAAGGACTCAGGAATAGCTGTGCCATTCCTGGCATGAGTTCTCTAAAGCCTTTTGAGGAAGGAGACCTGTCAGACGTCCAGGGCAGCTTACTCCAATGCTTCTCTGCTCTTACCGAGCCAAATGTTTCCTCGCATCTGACTTGAATGGTTTTTCTTGCAACCTAAACCTGTCGTCTTCTCTCTCCATCACAGGCAGACCAGTGCATCCCTCCTCATAATCACCTTATTTGGGATCTGAATTCACCTCCTCTTTTCCTCCTATTTTTAGACTAAATACACCAAATTAATTTAACCACTTTTTTCATAAAGATGCTTTCCTGAACAAGGTCGAGGAGCTGTGTTGGAACTTTGTCTGGGGAATTAAACTGCTCTGTCTTTAAAGAAGGCAAATGCCAGCTGAAAATTGCTATAAATCACTTATTGTCAACATCAAAAGAGACAATTCATACACACTACACTTCCCAAAAGAGAGAGATTTTTGTCTGGACAAATAGCATGATTGGGACGGAATCTCAGAAAAGTTTGGAGAGTTCAGAGACAAGAGGAGCGCAGAGGAAAATTCAGATCTAGAATAATGACTGTTTTAAAACCACTGCCCATCGACTTGGTTTTGAACTAAATACAACATGGGAATGCTAGAGCTTTTACTGAGAATGAGACTTTACAAAACCA